ATAATTGACCGTGGAATATTTCTTTCCTATCTTGAAGTGGGTCTGATGAAGGTAAATTCAGTTTTTCAAGGCGAACAAAGGGAAATTCTAGTCCATCCCCGAAAACATCCCCACTGGCGTCGTACTCTATAGCTTACTCGTACTGTACCCAATATAGTGGATTTTGGTAACCACATATATAGCTATGACATTGAAGTTTATTATAGAATTCCGAAAAAACTTTYCTATTGCCAATGTTGTATCATATCACAAAGTCAAATAATTAACTATAAACACTAGTCTAAATCTTCAACAAACCTGTAGAGATTATCGTTTTGTATAAAACAATGTATTAAGGATAAACATGTACAAAAACTTGTGACTCTTAAGTACAACAATAAAAGAACTTCCGGCTCGAACCTCGTTTCCATGTTAAACAAAGAGACCTGATTTTGATGTTGTTTTGAAAATAGCGGTTTTCAAGACGTTCCCATGCTCCGATTTTTATTATGTTAGTCTATGAATTTTCAGGAACAATATTACGAAGAAAAAGCTTCTGTTGCAATTTTTTGGTTGAGTTATTATTTACTGGACTAKATTATCAACAAGAATCAGAAATCCCAACAAACTACAAGAATTGTGTAAAATTTCATTAGAAAAAAGTATGATATCATATGGGGAACCCATCCTGGTCAAATTAGCTTTATTTATTTTTTTCCTTTTAACGAATTATTTTTGTAGTGATTTTCAATTATCAATTACAGTCGACGTCAATGACGCTATTTTATCAAATTTTAACGAAAATATGTAATTTTTAACCTTATTTATTTATTATTGTACATAGTTAAATATATTTGATTCAAAATTGTATTTTATTGGAATATTTAATAAAGTTTTAATTTAATTTTTTTAAAAATAATTATCAATTACAGTTAAATTATTTTTGTCAAAGCTGCAWTTATTTGGCATCAAATGTATTTTCTAACGATATGTAATGAATACAAGGGTGTTGTTGTTATAAGGTGGTATTCTCTTGGGAATAGTAGCGTGAAGTATATATAAGTGAAATCAGTTAGTGTGAACCATCAAAAGTATCTCTAAAAAACTCTTGTGCGTAAAAGTTGTGATAAAAACGTCATCTGCACAGAGAGAACTCAAAAAGATCAAGATCGAATCAAAAGCAACCAACTCGTTAAAATACAAAGGCAACAAGCTGCAGTAAGAATTTAACATAGAAATTCTCGACCTAGTCAACAAAGCATCAGATAAACTGCTCGATGGTRAGCTACGCGAAACRAATTCAGTTCTKGAAAAAGTGAAAGAGTTGATTGGGAAACGTATCAAATCTATTCGGTTTGCCGATAAAAGCCCGRCTGGCTGTGTCGCTGTTGAAGAATATGAGTCYGATGAGCTTGCTGAAAACTCTGATGACGAAAAGAAGTTGCGAAAGGCCGAGAAACGTGCCATTGCAGAGATCAAAGCCAAGAARCTGGGGAAAAAAMCAACACAAAGCGCAACGAGGCAAGGTCCAGTTCCACAWCGTCAACCCAATGCGTTTGCTGGGTCTTCTAATTTTCGGGACGATCTTCAGGTAAGTTTCAGGACGATCAATCACAAAATAAAGCARCTCGTAAGTTTTCCGAAGATACATCTTTAACAATAAATTGATTAATTAATTAAAAGTTACATTTTTTTGTAGGGATTTAGAATGACTAGTCGGGATTCTCTGAATTCTGTATTTAGAAAACACCTAGAAGATTGCACTATTGAAGGAAACTATGCTAGAGGGTACATTRATGGCGAGGAAAACTTATACCCCATTCACACCAGAAATTAACCATGATTACCGCGCGCGTAACTAAACTCGTTTATAACCTTGGCTAACTAAACTACCTCGTCGAGGTAGTTTTAAGGTTGTTTAAACATGGCGGCTAAGCGATGGCGAACCTGGGAGAAGAGTCAGACTAGTGTTTTATCAGAAGTTTGGGGAGAAGAGAACATTCAGGAGAGGTTGAGGTCATGCAACAGGAAAAAGGCCATTTGGGACGAAATAGCACTTCACTTGAGAGCTAGTGGCTTTGAAGACCGTGTAGGTGAAAGCTGCAAAACACGAATAMACACTCTTGTGTCCGCCTACCGCCGCCATAAAGATAACTGCAAGCAAACTGGGACCRGTAAAGCTAAAGTACAATCGCCATTTTTTTACGAGCTAGATGCCATTTTGAGCGATAGAYCGTGTACCAGACCAAATGTGGTTATTAATTCGCTGCGAAACGAAGGGCCAAAAACACCGGCRAAGGAGACCACAAAGCMAAACCAACACGATGACAATGACAATGTGGAGGAAGCAGAGGAGGAAAATGAAGAAGACGAGGAAGGAGATGGGCAAGGAGAGACAGGAGGTGAAGTCGTAGAAGTAGAAAATGTCAACGTTGAAGGTTGGTAGTCTTTCTGGTCATTGTTTACATTGTTTACAATATCACATGACATGTGACTACCTCAAAATGGCGTACGGTGTAGTTGTAGTTAGGAGATTTTCATCTGTTTTCATGGTTTTAATTCGTTGTTTTTGCACACAAT